CAAAAGAAGCTTATTTCTATCCTCCTTAATTTTATTAAGGTGTTTAATGTCTTCTTTAAACTTCCTAAATTCTTCTATAATGCTATAATCACTTTTTAAAATGCTGTGTGCTGGGCTTTAGCTAGGTAACACTCATTGGAAAATGTCTCTGCAAGACTTTTGTAAGGCTTTTGGTGGATGGATATATTGTATTTGTCTCTCATAGTGTTTGTGTTTTCACAATATGACGGGGCATGTGTAATTCCTTAATTATTTAAATGTTTGATGTTAGATTCCAGTCTCCCTCTGTAGAGTGGAAGTTTGGCTCTACTTTTACTATTTCCCAATATTGATTAATTTCAGAACAAGTATAATGAGTTAGTAGTGTTGATTTTTGATTGCTGGGACATGACATAGTTATGAACAAAGGGGTAGAATGTGACTCCTATTTGGTCCATCCCAAGGTGGTATGAAAGCTGGGCTGCTTCCATATATGAGGAATGGAGATCTGAGGAAATCATCAGGCTGGATTGGATCATGAGCTGTGTGGCCCTAGCCAAGCCAGGGAATATGGGGGAGGCATATATGGGTAATGATCCCATGTTCCTAATATTTTTATAATGAAATTTGAATAAGAATGAATTTGATCAAATTATAATACAAAAAGGTAAATGCTATAAAATGTTGTCATCATATCTTTGATGTGTTTGCCTTTTCATTAGTTTGTGTTATAATTATCTACTGCCTTGAATCTTTTTTTAATGTTTTGACTTGTCATTTTGATTTTATACTTTAAACGTTTAAAGCTGATATCATAACTATTGTTCTTAATATATATTTTCAGTTGTCTACTAAAATAGAAACATAGTAAGTTTGAGTCCATATCCAAAAGAATGGCAAGAAAGAATTCTATAAACCTTGGTTGGTTATACTCGAGAGAAATATATTAGAAGAAGCTATAAATAGTGTCTGATGCTCCCATGTATTTACATGTTTTTAAAGATATCAGTCTTTTATCAGTGAACAAGCAATGGACATGAGTAATGTTCCTAAATTCCTACACAAAACAATGGAAGCACCACACCACCATTGTGTTTGATCAACTGAAGGACTTATGGATTATCTATTACATTCTTGCATCTTTGAGCAAATTTAAGAATAGTTTTAAGAGTGTGCTTTCAGAAATTTGTTCAATATTTAGTTTCATTTGCTTTGAGCATACCTAATTTTAGAATATCCTTGAACTGACAAGTAACATTTTTAAAAATCATATTTTATTTATAGTATACTTTAGTTATAGTATAGTTGACCAACTTCAGTTATCAATTCTAAATATTCACCTATAAGACTCAAGTTATTTAAAGAAAGGACTAAAAAACCTAAATACCTTCTTAATCATAATTATTTAAACATAATTAAAAGTTAGTATATTATAAATCTATAAAGCAATCACTGCTATAAAGGCCAGTTCCTTATCTATTTGGCTACTGGGGCCCATGCAAATTATTTCTAAAGCAATCCATACAGCAGCAAAAATAGCTCTACATTTGTATATTTAGTGTCCTATTATCCAAAACAGTGAGAAGGTCTATATCATTATTTGTAGGCACATAGCCATTCTCATGTGAAAACACTAAGATCATTAAAAATAAATATAGAGTCTGCTCACTTCTTCCAGCTCCCCCACCACCTCTGGGGAAAAAATTTCACATCATTGGAAAGCAATTCTATTTAGAGTAGTTTGTCCTAAGGAAGTAATACAAAGGAAAGAAAAGATCTGTACTTCACAAGGCTCCCATAAGGGAAAATTGGAAACAACCTAAATGTCCAGCAATGTGAGGAGAGTTAATTAAGCTATTTTTCCACTTAAGAAAATCTTAAGCAAGGTTTGTGCTTTTCATTTCACAATGATAATAAATTCTAGTATGTAATAGGCACCCAAAATATATCTGTTGATCACATGAATTATTTACCCATTAGCCTCATAATTGGAAATACTGTATAATTAAATAACAAACATGAATCTGAAGTAAACCACAAACTTTAACAGAAAATTATGAGTACATATCTCCAATTTTGGTATAATATAAATACACAGAAATGTGGGAAAGTACCAACTATAGGTATAAGTCTCAAGATTATATTTGTGTTTACCATTTTTTTATTTTTCTTCTGTAAAATAAATTAAACACCAGGTAGGAATATGATTGACTATGCTTAGTGACTCTGACACCATGTTGATTAACATAACAGCCAGGTTATTAGCTTTTACACTCCAAATACTCAGAACTGACCACCCAGTTCCCCTAACCCTACCTCAGCTAGTCTTCTGCTTCCTACAGTTGCAAGAATAAGATTAAGTCATCTTGACTGTGTTCGGTACGGGGACTCTGGCTACAAATGGTATGAAACACATGCTATGGCTGTAAAATCTCCAAGACTATAAAAATATAATCATGTCTAACTCATAACAAGACACAACTTCTGAAAACACATCAGTACAGTTACGTTTCTAAACTCAACACAATTCCTTTTAAAGTGCAGAGATGCACTTTACACTGTTAACTCTCAATGGACTCAAAGTCATGAAAAAAATTAGAAGAAAGAAGAGGAAGATGGTGAAATAGGGACAAACAGCATCCCCTATGTCCCTAAGACTCTGGAGAAAGTATATCTATGATTTCAAAATGAGGTGAGAAGCATGAAATGACAAAAGAGAAATGCAGTACAGTTTGGAATGTTAGAGACCAGATGAAATTAGGAAAATTGAATTTCATGTATAAAGGAAAGAATAGACTTCAACCTAAAACTGGAGTAATGAACAAAATAGGGATGAAAAAGAAGAACGCTCTCAACATGTACACACGAGCACGCACACACACATACACACACACAAACATACACACATGCGCACAGAGACACATGCAGAGAAAGACATGCACACACATGCATGCACATACACATGCATATGCATGCCAATATACCAACACACAACACACACAAACACACACACATGTGCGCGCGCGCACACACACACACACACACACACACACACACACACACACACGGTCTATAAACAGAAAAAGAAACTCTCTAAAAGCAAAGATCAGCAAAAAAAAAAACAGAAGAAAAGTATTGAAAGTATTGGTGATAAAGACACAGGTATATGAATCCAATGCTTGGAAATCATCCTGCACTTTCTTCTCATTAGAAAATAAGGGCAAAGACCCCAAAAGTAATTTCAGGCATACTGTTCTGCTGGAAGCAATAGAAAAGTATACAACCATGTGTCTTTCAACTTTAAAGCCCTCCCTCTGTCCACTAAGATCATGACAATCAGAGAATCATATAATCACTTAAACACTTCAGAGACTTGACAAGAACTGAAAGCCAATAAAGCAAATATACTCAACTTAAGACCCAACATACTGGAAGGAAAGAAGGATGAGCCCTGAAAATATGAACACATCCAAGTGCAAATACAATAATGGGTAGGAAGTCTGGAGAAACAGTTCCACTGTTAAGAGCACTTGCTGCTCTTAAAGAGGCCCCAGGTTACATTTCCAGCAACAACATGGTAGCTCATACTGTCTTTAGTTCCAGTTAGGGGAATCCTACCTCATCTCTGGCAGACATACATACAGCCAAAACACTCATACAAATAAAATAAAATAAAATAAAATAAAATAAAATAAAATAAAATAATAAAATAAAATAAAGAATGGGAAAGGGTCATACTATATTCTAAAACATTGAAATCAATATGGGAATGGAGTCTCCTAGTCATTACCAGGGAGTCATCCTTTAGATATTAACCAGCTTTTAGCATGGGAATGTGTAAATGAAGGTTTCTCTCGCACCCGCCAGCTCCTGAATAAGCATTAGAGCCTTAGTAATAATTATAATTGTTGGTCAATGTCTCAGGCATATTACTGAATATCTCTCACAATTAAATTAACTCATTTTTACTAAGCTGTGTATAACCACTTGGCTGTGACTTACCGTAATGTTGTGATGTCTTACTCTTTTGTCAGCTAAATTACATCTCCCTGACTTTCCCCCCTAGCTATATCCCCCATGCTATAGGCCAAAAAAGCTTTATTCATCAACCAATAAGAGCAACATATCAAGCAAGAATTACAGTTACAATAGTTAGTCTATTTGTATTTGGAAAAAATAAAGAAAATTCTCTACCATCTATCATATCTTCGTGAGTCTAAGGTTTTGTATCAATTAATCTTTTATCATAACTGAGGAAAACTATAAGTATCTAGTGTTCAATTCCATCAAAGTCCCCAGAAGGATATACGTTACCTAAGTAAATATGAAGTGTGCTATAAGTAACTTCCAAAACTCTAGAAAGGAGAGAGACATCTTGTTACCCAAAGTTCTTCTGTAATATTGGGGCATCAATCTTCAGCCTACAAGCCCATAGAATCTGTCAGAAGTCTCAATGAACCAGGAAATTTGAAGATCTGTTCTGCTTTGTTCATCAGTTGCTTTTATCTGAGTCTTGTAGAATGTCTGGAAGTTTCTTCTGTGAAGCAGGAACCCTGAAGAACCATCCCATCTTGTGTTGGCAAGTTCAACAGTCAATCTTCTGTGGCTCCTGCATGTCCAGTTTATACAGCATATAGTCGTCATGCAGTCCAAACAAGAGAAGTGCCCAAATGGCTATTCTTACTATAATTGAAAACAAACTCAATAAGGAGCTTCTTCGATGCCCATCATCTTCTTAAAGTAATTGGTGCTGCTAGGCGCCCACATATCTCACTGTCAAGAAAAGTCTTAAAAGTTCTTAAAACATTTTAAATGCCATATTCTCTATGTCTTTGAAGTATTTGAAAATTACCTATCCATCTGAAATATATGTCTGTGTATCTCGAAAACCTAACATGACTATAAGTTTGACATTCATAGATGACTATTAATTATATTTAACTATGCATTACATTTTAAATGAGCTTCATAACTATAATACCTTAAATAAGAGTAAAAATATACATATTGTATAACAAAATTGACCTTTGGATTTCATTGTAACATCCCCCTTTCCTATCTAATTTTATTAATTCATGTCATTCTTTCTTTTTGTTAGTTTGGCTAAAGGTTTGTCAATAGTGACTCTTTTAATCATTGAAAAGTTGTGAAAGTCAGTGTGCATTGTGGAGGCTTATTTTTCCCACATATATTGAGTTTCTTGGGTTATGTGCATCTGTTGGGATGAATGCACTTCAGTCTTTTTTTTTCTTCACACTCTTTTTGCTTTTTTGACTTATCATTTGTGAATTTTCTTTTTACACAGTCTTTACTTGAGCTTATGATTCCACACTGGTACTAAGAGGTAGAAAGGAAAACAATAGTGACAGAAACAATGCATTGAAACTAATTATTTTATTGAAACGCATTTTTATTTGACTGTATCCCTAATGAGGTTCAAAAATGGCATAGGATAGTGCTAGGATAAATGTAATCATGTTTGAAACAACAGTTTAAGAAGTTAAAAAGGAGAATGTGTGAAGGGGAAAAAGAGGAGTAAATTAGGGGTGAGAGGGAATATACATGAGTTGTTATAAGTAGTGGGGAAAAGAGAATGCATTGGGGGAGTCCATCATGAATGCCTATTAAGGCAAGATGAAACTGAAAGCAAAACAATAATGGTGAAAAGGTAACAGTAAGATAGACAGACAGATAGATAGATAGATAGATAGATAGATAGATAAAATAGAATGATATGTTAGATCATCAGTCAGCATTTCTCTTTTACTGGGATGGGCATCTTCCTCCATCTCTAAGTTGTGTTTTGCAGCTGACTCTGCAGGAGGAAAGACAGCTGCCAGTTTCTACTTAAAATAAACTAGAAGAAAATATCTTCCTGCTGCATTCGAGTCTTCCTCCATAGGATTTTTCCAGTCTTCAGGTCTTGTTAAATTTAGCATTCTGTCCCTCCATCTATCCCCACCAGGTATAGCCTTATTTCTGGTGTACATGATGATCACACTTCTAAACAGGTTTCCACTTTCTAAGACTTTGAAGGAAGCATAGTGATGACACACTACAGAACTAGGGTTGGGTTCACTTTTGGGGGGTGTTCTCCTCCTACCCAAACAGGCTGCTTTTCTGCCACACCACACTGTCCTTGCTTATGCATAAGTAAGTTCAGCAGACATTTCCAAGGTCAGCTAAACCGTCTCTTTCCTAATAGGTGAAGGAGGAAGCTTGGGTCTCCGATTTTGAGGATTATTGTGATGAATGTTCAGCCTTTCCTGGTGAAGTGATTTTCCCATAGCAGTTCTCTCAGGTGAAATTCTATTCCTACCAGCCTAGAAGAAAGCAGTCACAGTAAATGGCAATGTCCTGAGCTCCATGGCACTCTACGCAGACCTATCTGAAGTTTTATACAGTTTTCATCTGGAGTCCTCCTTTCTCTCCTTACTTTGTGGGCCCAGACCTGGAGGGGAGGGCTTATTGCCCCCTTCCTTCCTACATGGTCAAGTTCTTCCAGTTCGAATTTACAATGTCGTTGTAAAATAACTCTAGTTTTCTGGATTGTATACACTTTCTCATTTGCTGTTTCCTGGGCCCTCTATTGCCGTTCCAGAATTCTAATATTACTCTTCAGTCTGATGTTTCTTTCATAGTCATGGGTACATAGGAGTGCTGTTAGCCTCTATTCTGCCATCATCACTTTTATTCTTGTTTTAAAAGTAGTTACATATTTAAGTAGAAGCTTTATAAAATACCAACCAAGTAACCTCAGTGTATAACCTGTTGCCTGACATATTTTGAATTTGTCAAACAAAGGCCCCACAGAAAATAAACCAAACCTTACTTAATTAAATTATTTTTAAAATCCGGTCAAAGCTTGAGTTCTAGAATGCCAGTTCTTGTAAGACAAATCGATATCTCACAAATACTCAAATGTAGAGGAAACATTTGTCTTAGAATTGTACCAAGGCATCAAGAATTTCTTACATAGATACTAAATGAGCTACACATTAAAAAAATACATAGTACTATTATAGTTTTGTTTTGCTTTGTTTTATTTAGAGGGTAATAGCAAAGATAAGTCATGGGATATTCTCCAACTCCTTAAAACCCGCTGGAATTATTGAAGATGAGAGGGACATGTTAGAGGAAGTCAATAAAAGAGAAGATTAAGGCTCATACAGGTAGATGACTTGTTTAAGGACCACTTCTGTGTTATCATAACTGTAAAAGGCCTATGACTAAAGCTCATTTAAATTGATTTTTACTATAGTATCTGGCATACATGCTTCAAAATGATACTTCATGTCCGGCATTAATGATTACAACAAGCTCTAATACTGCATTAAATGACAGTAGTTTGCTTTCTTAAAACCAGTGATTTATCTACCATCCTATTTAACTATCATTTGTCACCTTCTCCACAGACACAGACTTTATAAAAATTCTTCTAGTGGCACAGACATGAGATAAACTGCTACTATTTGAATGGTAAGGATAGGGAAACATTTTTATAAAGACTATATTTCTTGCTATTGAATTCTAAATATTCATTAACTAAGCATCGCCACATTTAGCTATTCTGCTTATTTATTAAAATAAATATTTAAACGGACTGTTCTCATTTATAATAACTACAGCATAATAGGCTCATAGCAATGTTTACTTCTACTGATGGGATTGGCCATAGATATAATCAGAGCAGATGTGTGCACTAAGCTGTTTTCAGTGACATAAGCATTTTACCATGGGAAGTTTCATAAAACTTAAACCACAGATTCCAATGAGATGAGTATTTAACCTCTGGGTTTGATTTAGAATATTATATTCATAGTTTTAAAAGAAATGGCCCACTATAAAGAAGTCAAGCTTTGTATAAGACTTTTGGGATTTATCTTTGCTCCATTTGTGGTTAATTCTGCCTAAGAGAAAGAGTTTACCTAAAAGACCATCTCAACAACATTATAGGCCTTATGGAAAGTCATCCCACACTGCCATAGTATTTTCACCAAAGTGATGTGAAATAGTATATTCACCTCTAAATATCAAGAGATGTCCAAGAAGAGATATGACAAAGAGATCATCTAGGAACCTGGGTGTCATGGACAATGGTGGAAGTGTTAAGTGGTGACACTGCTTTCTTAGACTTCTTTCCTCTCCTTGCGCCCTGAGACAATGTATGGTTGAGGTATCTAGACTCATGCATAAACTTGTATAGCTCTGGATGTTTTTTTTTCCATTAGTAAACAAAATAGCAACTTGACAGCTGCCTTAGTAATTTTCTTCAACACTGTTAATAAACAATGCTTGTGAAGCCCCACCACTGGGCTTGTACTTCAGTCTTCTCACGTTCTCGTGGTTCATTCCCTTTTTACTCTTCCTCCCTCCAACCATCTTACTAAATCTTGCACTGTCTCTGTCTCTAACTCTGTGTCTTTGTCTCTCTGTTTCTGTTTCTCTCTCTCTCTCTCTCTCTCTCTCTCTCTCTCTCTCTCTCTCTCTCTCTCTCTCTCTCATACAAACACAGAGAGAAAGAGACAGAGATTTTCAACAATCAATAAGAAATATATAACTTTTTAAAAGGCAGAGATCCAGGATCCTCTTTCATACTTTGGAAACACAAGGATAGATAAACTAAACATTCTCCCAAATGAATCAAATTTGACTTTCCCCAATTCCATAATGAAACCTATTGCTAGAGCTTCAGAGGTGGCACAGAAGGTAAGGGGCTTTCTGCAGAAAACTTGAAGACCTGAGTTGGGATTCCCTGAACTTATGTGAAAGGTGAGTGCTGAATCACATCTGTAATCCTACCATGAGACGGGTTGCAGTGACAGGAGATTTCTGGAAGCTTGGGGGCCAGGAGTCCTAACATATGCATTGATATAGGGCAAAAGTGCTGTCTCTCAAAAAAACTGGCACCCAAGGTTGTCCTCCTAACTCCACATGTGCATCATAACTTGCACACATAACTGCACACACACACAGGCCCGCACGCACGCACACACACACACACACACACACACACACACACACAAATGCACACATGCATGCACACACATTCACATACATGCATACACACAACAAAATACTGCTACTTTAATGATACTATGTAAAAAGCTACCCATAAATGATTTACTATTTTTCAATTATTCCCTGGTTTCTGTGTCTTGATTTCAAAAGTATCAGCTGCATTTTTTTAAAGGGTAACTTGGCAGATTGCTTTCTGGGTTATCTGTCCTTTTTACTCTAATTTGAAGTATCTGCCACATGAACACACATATACACACACTTTCATGTGCATCACCCCCTCAGGGACTATCTTTCTGCCTTAACCTAATATACATTAATAAAACCACAATACTCACTCATAATAATGCTTGGTTTTTCCTTCTCAGCTAAATCATCTATGTCATGAGATAAAGTTATTTAACTAGTATATACCATTCATATCACCATAAATAAGTACATTAGTTACCCAATGTTATTTCATTTAGTTGCTATGGATCTACTGTACACCTCACAATTCAATGGGTAATAGGAATAATATGCAAAATTAGATAGATATTGAATCCATATATTCAAAAGTCTGTAGTAGATATTATTAAATGTTTACAAATACAAAGTCCTTTCATTAGTGTTTGTTAGCCATACAGATCAGTGGATTTCATTGTGAAAATTCTATACATGCTTTTAACACATTTTGTGATGTCAACCCTCTCATATGCCCCCTTACCCTTAGCATCTCACTTCCAGACTCCCCTTTCTCTTTTCAGAGTCCCCTTTCTACTTTTATATCTTCTCTTTCTCTTCCCTCACGCTGTCTCTTTCTGTCTGTCTCTATCTCTCTGTGTCTCTGTCTCTTTCTCTCTGAATCACATTTGATAGGCTATATGCAATGCAATAATTGTCTTTCTGAGTCTGGGCTATTCCAAGTGGCAACATATCAGCTAGTCCCATCCATTTTCCTGAAAACAACGTGGTTTCATTCTTTTTAGGTACGAGTAAGGCTTTATGTGAATTTTTCACATTTTCTTTATCTATTCATCAGTGAATTGTTATTGTGAATAAGATAAAATATCATTTTGAAGGCAATATTGCCTGGATTTGAAAAGATTAATTGAATGCTTTTACATACATACAGGTACACTCACACTCAGGAACAAGTGTCTATGCCTACATGTACACATAAATCCTGCTATTAAAGGATAAAATACTATACATTAGAAATATAACCATGTTTTCCTATTTGAACTAAGATAATAGTTCTCTCCCTAAAACACCTGCACACAAATCTTTGGGGTGTGTGTGGGGGTGTTTTAATGGTAAAAGGAAAAGGCAGTGGAATTAAGCTAGAGATTACAGGATAGGGAGATGATCCTGGGCTATCTGAATGGCCCCACTGTAATCAATCACAAAGGCTTTTGTAAAATGGAAGCATGAAAGTCATGAGAGAGAAAAGGCAGAGACAAAGGAAGAGATGGAAATGTGCTGCCAGAAATGAGGGTTAAAATGATGCAAGGAAAGGGCTGGGAGCCAATAAATGTGAGTGGGCCCTAGGAGCTTCCAAAGGCAGTAAACACATTCTCTCCTGGAGACTCCAGTGGGAACACAACTGTCTCAACTCAATTTGGTTTTCAGACTTCAAAACTGTAAGACTGTAAATTTTCATTGCTTTGAGTCACAAAATGTATGAAAATACATTATAGAGGCAATAGAGAATTACTTAACTGTACCATTTATTAACAACTTTCCCTCCAGTAATCTCTCTGAATCTCACTGTTAGCTCTCATGGCAGCCTGACTCAGGCCTTCCAAGACAGCACACCAGTGGTGCCATCCATCTCCTTGCTTTTATGCCTTCCCTGACCCAACAGCCATCTGTCCATGGACCAGATCCCTTTCTGTTCAACTCATGCCCATAGCCTCCTTAAAAAGAGAGCTCTGAGTTCATTCCGAGCTACCAGTTTTAATCTTAACCATTAACGTGGCATCCAAACAACACTCCAGCTTTTGCAGACTCATTACAGGGCTTTGTAATTGCTTTTAAGTGGTTTGAAGTATTTTGTCTACTGTTCCACCAAATTAGCAACTTCGAGGGAGTAGGAAATATAAGTGCTTTTGGTTTTTATTCATCCTGGCAGGAATTTCTCATTCCAGGTGCAGACACAAAGTAGGAACACTGACATTGTATGCAGTTTTTCCGGGGTGGGTTGCCACCCATCCTGACCCCCCAAAACCTTGATGCCTACAGGAAAGTGAGAAACTTTTGGTATTTAGTGCTATTATATTCATGCTCCGTCTACTTGCTAATTCATCCTGTTAGGCAGGAATAC